CAAGAGCATGTGTTTTAGGGTGGCAACTGTGGTCTTCTTCTGCTCTTGATCTTTCTCAGAAAGAGACTGCTAGATTAGTTACCAGAATTCCCAAACCATAATGAATCCAGATGGATAAATGTGTTGATAAATCTATTCTCCCCTTCAATCATTTTTATGCTGTGCTCTTGTATATTTTACTAGGCTGGGAAGAGACTGTTCAGTCCAATCAAAAGCACACTCTCCCATTATAGGATTTTAAAGACAGAATATCTGTTAATTCAAGCTTCTTACTCTCTTCAGTCCTAAAAGTATTGACTTAAGAAAATCAATACTTGTAGAGGGTTTCTTTTTTTGTGGACGGGTCTGTGATTTGTATAACAGTATGTGTGTGTTTAATTTATATACCAGTTCTTTTGTAAAAATTGTGCATGCTTGCCAAAACACAGAAAGTCAAAAATTCAAAATGAAAACAAAAAATTGGAAAGACCAATACTCCTACACAAAAACAGGCTATTTTAAATATCAACACTGTGATCTGGGTTGTCACCCACTGGCAAGGCACATGCTTCTGTCTTCTGTCTTTTAGATGTAAAAAGATTTTATATGGAAAAGAAACATAACAGCGTCACTGGTTTCATCAGTTAGAAGTATTTGCATTCCAAACGTAGCTGTACTCAGGTTTCTTTGAATTTATTTTATAGCTAGGGAGAAATGGCTTTTCAAAAGAATATAAACTTGCAAATTTATTTATCTAACTATCATTTATCAAATTTGGGGCAGAGAATTAAGCTGGATGATTTCTTCAAATTTCTTGAAGAAGAAGACGGAAAGCTAAGACTTTTTCTCAATGGCATGGTAGTCCTTCAAGGTTGTATAGGGAAAGGGTACAACAATGTACACTAAATGTATCTTTTGAAATTACATTATAACAGAATCTTGCAAGTATTTATCTCTCTTTCCCCCTTTTCTTTTCTAGAAAACTAGGGAGGGTCCCTTCTAAAATGCTTTCTGTGCCCTGTCTCCTGTGGGCTGAGAAACCTATTCTCCAAAGCACCTGAAGGCAAGACAAGAAGCAACGGATGGAAACTAACCAAAGAGAGAAGCAACCTAGAACTAAGGAGAAATTTCCTGACAGTTAGAACAATTAATCAGTGGAACAACCTGCCTCCAGAAGTTGTGGGTGCTCCAACAGTGGAGGTTTTTTTCTTAATTTAAAAGTTTTATAAATTTATTACAATATAAACCCCCCACCCCTTCCCCCCTCCCCCACTTCCCAGAGCTGATTACAGGGTAAAAAATAAAATAAACAAACATAATCTAACTAACATAACCCAACTATACTATCAATCAAAACCATAACACACTTTAACTCCTCAAAACAAATATTAACAAATTATGTCAAAAATAATAATATAATTAAAATTAATAATAATTATCTAAAATCTACTCAAAAGCAAGATAATATTTTTCAATTTCATATTTCTTCTGAATATAATCAATCCATCTTCTCCAAATGTAATTTTCTTGTGAATGATCCTTCAAGTAGGTGGAGATTTTTCGTCATTTCTGCTAAATTAGACACTTTAAGTATTTATTTATTTATTTATTTATTTATGAGACTTATATACCGCTTTAAGTGCAAGCACTCTCTAAGCGGTGTACACCAGTAAGCAATGTATATATATATTTACATTGCCCCCAACAATCTGGGTCCTCATTTTACCTACCCCTGAAGGATGGAAGGCTGAGTCAACCTTGAGCCGGTGAGATTTGAACCGCTGACCTGCTGAACACAGTCAGCTAAGGTGGCCTGCAGTACTGCACTCTAACTGCTGCAATAAGTTTTTCTTCCAATATTGCCCCACCAATAATCTTGCAGCTGTTATAAGGTTCAGTATCAAATTAGTTTCTTTAACATCAAAATCTACAATAATACCCAACAAAAATAATTGCGGAGTAAACTTTATCTTTCTCTTAAAAATCTTTTGAATATTCCACCAATCTTAATCCAACAGTGGAGGTTTTTAAGAAGAGATTGGACAACAAATTTTCTGAAATGGTAAAGGGTTTCCTGCCTGAGCTGAGGGTTGGACTGGAAGACCTCTGTGGTCCCTTCCAACTCTGCTATTCTGTTAAATCTTTTACCTGCTGGTTGTCCAGTCTGTGGCAATTCCTCCTGTATCCCAAGATCACTTCCACATTCCATTACATGATACAAATAATGTCCCCCCAGCAGAAATTCCTATGTGGCAAGTTTTCCCTTGAGATATAATTGAAGCACAGGAAGTCAGGGAGCCTACAGGCCACTGGACAATTGCACTTGAGGGAGAGGAGAATTAAAACCAGCAACATGGGGAAACAGTGTCACAACACAAGCCCTGCCACTTTTGTATTGCATTAACATCATACCTGTGTTCCCAAGGGGATGGCCTTCCATCACAACAGTCTACCATATTTGAACCTAATCCCCACGGATGATACTGCCACTGATGAGAAAAGTAGATGATGGCAAACAGAACATTTATGCATTCACTTGCAGCCATCTGGGAGTTAAATTAGTGAAAGAAAAGAAACATTCTTTTCTGGAAAAAGAGAAATCCAAAACACGTTTTCTTTTAACCAATTAAATAAGAAACTGGTGGCTGGTCAGCCTGCTTTTTGCTAACTGGTTTTTGTTTCTTAAAGTCTTTTTCTTTTGTGATCCATTCATGAAGTCCAAGGGGGATTTGGCTCTCTGCCTCTTGGACTGTCCAATACCTACCAGTAAGACAGTACAGATATAAGAGGAAGTTGTTTACAGGACTATATAGAGACACTTAGTCGCCAGCAAGAGAATGAATGAATTTACTGGTAAAGAAGAGAAGGCAGTTTTAAAAACAAAACAAAACCAGAATCTATAAAAACACAGAGTAGTGCTTTCATGACATATACCGTGTTTTCCCCAAAATAAGACCCGGTCTTATATTTTTTTGCCTCCGAAAGAGGGACCAGGTCTTATTTTCAGGGGATGTTTTACCTGCTTACCTTAGGACTGCCGCAGCCAGGCCTCCCATGCCCCGACACCTGTTGCGATGCTGCTTGAGTTGTCCTGTGGCCACTTGTGGCCACATGCCACGTGGTGCATTGCACCACTGGTACCACTCACAGCAGGAGACTGTGTGGCTCATAGTGCAAATTGAGCTGGTACAAGTGGCAGCAGCGCCATGATGCACCATGTGGTATGCCATCAAAGGTGTTGGGGCATGGGAGGTCTAACTGCAGTGGTTCCAAATTAAGCAGGTGCAGGGTACATGAGGCAGCTCCATCCCCCCACCTTGCTATAGCTTGATTTTTATACATGTGCCTTGCCCCAAAATTAGGGCTTATTTTTTTTGGGGGGGGGTAGGGCTTATATTAGACACATGTATAAAAATAAAGCCAGGTCTTATTTTTGGGATATGTCTTATTTTCAGAGAAACACAGTAGGTTCATGACACTGTGAAAAGTTTTCTTATGTGAAGGGTAAGAAAAAATGATAAATAAAAGTAAAATACAGGTAGTTCTCAACTTACAACCACAACTGAGCCCAAAAATTATGTTGCTAAGTGAATTTGCTCCATTTTATGACCTTGCCACAGTTGTTAAGGGAATCACTGCAGCTGTTAAGTTAGTAACACGGTTGTTAAGTGAATCTGGCTTCCCCACTGACTTTGCTTGTCAGAAGGTCACAAAAGGTGATCACATCATCCTGGGGTACTGCAACCATCATAAATATGAACCAGTTGCCAATCATCTGAATTTTGATCATGGGGATGCTGCAACAATTAAAAGTGTGAAAAGCAGTCATAAGCCACTTTTTTCAGTGATGTAACTTCAAACGGTCCCTAAATGAACTATTGTAAGTCAAAGATCACCTGTAGACATTTATTACAGACTGGAATAACTCAACACTTTTCATTTATTGTTATTTCAATAAATATATTTCCTTCAGTCCTTTTTAGCTGCTTACAGTAGGAGTTGTTTTCAAGCAAGAACAATTTAGCATCAGGCTATAAATGTTGCCTGGTTGACTGGGAATGAAATTCATGCACTAATTCTAGGATATAAACTCTGGCCTCAGCTATACCTTCACCAAAAAGGTCGGCTGGAATCATGTCTACAACTTTTAAAAATTCTCTCCTAGAAAAGAATAAAAGAATAAAATCCTTTCCATTAGGCAGAAATTTGTTTGCCTTGTTTGCATTTTGCCATGTTAGACATCTACCTGCAGATCCTTTTCAGGAAAGTAAAATGTGCTTATGTCTCATGGGGTCTTCAAGAACCTTTCTGCTGCTTGCACACGCCTCAAATTAAACCCAGGGGAGATGGGGGACTAATGGTGCATTTTTTTTTTTACTGGAAATATATCAGATCTTCTGTAGAGATACAAATGTAGACTAGTTGCAAACTCATGTTTCTAACAGTGTCCTCTGAGAAGTGAACTGGTTTTGTTGCACGAGTTTGGAAGTTCTTAACAAAAATTACACAATTTCCTTTCCATACACAAGGGTGATAGCTACTTTCAAGCAAGGTTGTTTGGTGCCCCTTATTTTAAATAAACGATCTAGTTGGAAAATAGGTCTCCTTCATAAGGCATCTATATTATGCAGTCTGTTTGTTTTTTCTGCTTGTTATAGAAATAATGCAAGCCCTCTCATATAATAAGCATATTTTTTAAAAAAAGTATGTGTCACTTGAAAAAAAAATACTACTTTGCGTAGGGGAAAATGAAACAGAACGTGATAACAATCAATATAGGATACTGATCAAAATCTATTTGCCACCGATTCCAGGTAGAGGGTTATTCCTTCCTAAGGTAAACCTCACCAGGTCCCTTAGAAGAAAAAGAGTTGCCAAAAAGGATTAGGAAAGGCTAGCGTGAAAAGGCATTTTTAAATAGCAATCCGTAACGGGGAAGTTTCAAGTGAAAAATCCAGAGGGCTTTTAAAGAAGCGATTGCATGTCTTAAGTGTTAAAATCGGGCAATTTGCGATTTAGGCGAAGGAGAGAAAACTGGACGAACGGCCGAGAGCGGATGGAAGGAGCAGAAAAGCCCGCGGGATCGGAGAGCGCGTTACTTAAAGGAGCTTCTTCCACCCTGGAGTTCGCGCGCTCAGTCCGCGCTTTTGCGCTTTGCGCTCCTTGCCACGACGCGCAGTCCCAGCATTTCCTCAGGGGGGCGTCCGTCGATCGCACCGCAGGGGAGACGGGGCGTCCTGCCGGGTCTTTCCTTCTCGATTAGAAGGCGCGCCGGTCTTTTCTCCTAATCGCCGTGCGCGCCATTTCATTACGGGAGCTTCGCCTAAATCCCATCCAAAGGCAGTCTCCGCCCCGTTTGCGTGTGTGGAAACCTTCTGCTTAGCCCGCGTCGGCTTCCCTTAGCGCCGTCTGGCTTCTGCGGACTCAGGACTTGCGCGCGGCGGGCTCTCTTCTCGTTTCCCCCTTTTCCCCACTTGGAAGCTCCTCCCAGATCATCCCTACATTTTTTTTTTTTAATTATCTAGTGGCGTCGCCTCGGATTGCCGATCCAACCTTTAACACGCTTTCAAGTCAACTTGCCCAAACTTTGATTCAAACAATATTTGGGGGAAGGCTCAAGGGGCCGTCCGACCTGAGCCAAAAAAAAAAAAAAAAAAAGAGAGAGAGAACATGGGTTTAAACTACCGAGGTGGTCGCAGCTGCCCCCGCCTGGCGCTCCTTGTATTGGTTTGTTGCGTCGGACCTCTCGCTGCCAACCGGAGAAATATCCCGCGGCGACAAGGTAAGAGTCGGAAGATGGGGTGACTTAACCAGCCCGGGCTGCGTGTCCCCGATGGAAGGTGTGTGTGTGTGTGTGTGTGTGTGTGTGTGTGTGTGTGTGTGTGTGTGTGTGTGTAGCAGCTGGCCTTCCTCAGGGGCCGGTGGAAGAGCAAAGGAGCCGCGAGTGGTTGGAAAAAAAGGAAGGGCAAAATAAAAGCTTTCCTCCAAGCAGCGTGTGCGTGTGCACGCGCAAACACACATACACACACGCGTGGAAGGGCGCCCTGACGTTTACCCGAGACTCGCTTCTTCCCTCCGTTACCCTTGCACACCTCCTCATCTCCACCTCAGTTGCTCTGCTACTATCTATCTCCTGCTGGGTAAAAATCTCAGCGGCTACTGAAATCCGCTGGAGATGAATCCATGTGATCTCAATTACTGGATACTAGGAAAGGAAGAAAAAAAAAAAAAAAAGAAGACACGGGGGCGGAAGGGGAGAATGCTTAAAAAGGGGAAAAGCTTTTTGAAAACAAGATTTATTTAATCCATATTGACAGAATGACTGCTAGTTTCCTGTTGCGCCAGGCACAATTGGAGGAGTTTTGTTTTGCTTTCTTCTCCCCCCTCCCCCCCCCCGGTGGAGACCAGCCTCGGTTCATTATGTACAAAGCCAATTAAAGAGTCCAGACACATTGCTTGGAGATGGCACTTCTAGGGAAGCTTCTGACATTTGCCTCAAGACTACATCTCTAGTTTTAACTCTGATGACTTTTTCTTTTAACAACCAAAAGGGCATCCATGAACATATATATGTTTTATGGTGTTTTAGGATTGATCCAAGCACTGGGGTAAATCGATCCTCAGTTCTTTGAGAGAAAGGGGAAAAAAAATAAGGCTGCCTCCAAATTAATTTGACTATTTTTTAGGGGGTGGGAAGAGTTAAAAGACATATGTTTCCCTCCCTGGGCTTTGAAGGCAGAAATTCAACAAGTGTTAATTTACCCATCACTGTCTCCTCATGCTGGAAAAAAGGTCAGTCTTTCTGAATTATTGCAAAATATCTATTTGTAAAAACCTAGATTGGAAAAGACTTGTTTCCAGGGAAGTTATTGCAACCTGAAATCTATAATAGTAGACTAGAATCATTCACCCCTGTAACCCCATTAATTCCAGCAGAACACTTTCTTGGCAGAAGCTGATCTTTACATTCAAGCAGTGTGAGCAAAATTGTTAGGCAATGCTTTTTAACAAAATTTTTTTTAAGAAGAAGCAAATAACTTGCTATATAGTCTTTGAAACATATCTTCTAGTTTCTAAATATGCTATTCCTAATACTCCAGTTGAAACAAACTTTCCCTCCTGTTCTCTCATTAGAAGCTGGTTTAATTATTCAACTTTATCATTCGTGCTAGGGTTCAATGTAACAAATTGTTGGGACAGATGTCCCATATTCTCTTCATCTACTTACAACATGATAGCTCATGGGATAACAGGGCTGCGTGCATATCCTTGACCTTGTTACTGCATCAAAAGGGAGCATGATACTTGGATAAGTACCATGCTCCCTTTTGATGCAGTAACAAGGATACTTGGATAAGGCCTTCTGGCTTTATTTTTTTTGTTTAATTAGTATATTTTTATCCCATCATTATTATTTTATAAGTAACTCAAGGTGGAAAACATACTCCTTTCCCCAACAACTACAGCTCTGGGAACTGGACTGGACTGAGAAGAAGTGACTGGCCCAAAGTCACCCAATCAAACTTTCATGCCTAATGTGAAATCGACTCAGTCTCTTGGTTTCAAGGCCAGTATCTTAACTACTACACAAAACTGGCTAGAGAAATTGGCTAATGTAGGTATCCTCCTGTAGATTCTAATCTGTTTAAAAACAATTAGATCAGTGGTTCTCAACCTGTGGGTCGGGACCCCATTTGGGGTCAAACGACCATTTCACGGGGGTCGCCAAACAATGCAGTCTGCCATTTTTCCCCCTTTTCCTTAGCTGTGCTACTCCCTTTTATTCTATTGGCTTTTGAAAGCCAATAGAATAGACTCTCTTGAATAGAGTCTAATTCTATTGGCTTTCAAAAGCCAATAAGAATTGTCCAGGCTGTCTCTGCCCTGCTGAGCCTGCCAGAAGTCCCATTCTGCAAACAGTGCTGCACCAGTTGAGTAGTCCTCGACTTTGTTATTCTGTATCCAGGGGAGAGGAATTTAGTTTTTGGTTTCGACTATGTAGTCCCGATACTTTGTTTCTCGAATAAAAGATTCTTTAAGGTAAACAATGCCTCGAAGTTCTTTTGAAGAGTTTCATCTGTCGGAACCATGACAGTAATATTTGGAAGGCTACAAGTTCTGCATATATGTTTTGGAATTAGCTTCATTCAGACTGAATGAATATATAATACCGTTATATATAAACAGTAATTGTGCTTGGTTATCATGGGAACCAGTTTGGTGTAGTAGTAAAGTCACTTTTTCTCACTCCTAGGAAGGAGACAATGGCAAAAACTTTAGAAAAATCTTGCCAAAAAAACTGCAGGGATTTGTCCAGGTAGTTGACAGGCGTCAACACTGGCTCAAAACAGTCCCCCCTCTCCAATAACATGCCTTTCATTCACTTTTCTTCCTTTTCTTTAGGTCAGTTGTGCATATGAAAAATACTTTACACACCCATAAGCAATTCTTAAGGGAGGGATCTGTGAAAGCTAATGAAGGACTTCCAAAAGGAAGGAAGGCCAGACAGCAGACTATTCCTTCAAGAAAGCTGCTAATAAAACTGGATGCACATTTGTAAGACCTGTGTTGAACCTTCCTCAGTGATATTTGGCTTTCAATATTGTAGATTTTTAAAATATTTAACAATGTCTTCCATCAATTTACCCAGAATAGGTATGATATAATTTCCCAGATCACAATACATTCTTTTAAAATTTGTGTTATATTTTTTAGAAACTGCTAAACATAAAAATCTTTTCCCAATAAGCACAATAATTTAATTGTGCTATTACTTGTGAAATGCAAACTAAGTCATGTTTGGAAATGCCAAAACACTGACCAATAATTTTTTTTTATGTTTAAACCCTGCAGTGGCATTCAAGCTTTTGGACAGTACTTGGAGGTGCTAATTAATGGTTAATGTTCTCCATGACTGAACATGCACTTGACTTTGTCTTTTAGTGTTGTTCAATATGGCAAGCTTTGGTTTGTTTTTTTGCAAAGTAAAGTGGATTTGTTGTTTGACATGGAAATAGGTATGAGAGGAGAGTGGAGAAGTAATATTTATGAAGCCCAAGAGAGTACCTGAGTTTTCTTAAAAGTAGTCGCAAACAATGATATTTCTCTTTGTAGTTCCTAAAAGGTAGGTTCATATGATTTGAGTGAGGAAGAGATGGGATCTTAGTCTGGTTATGACCATGCTCTAAATGTGGAAGAGCTATTTTTTTCCACTATTATAAAGTTTTGCAATCTCGTTGCTTCTATCAAACGAGTGACTGTCAAGGGGGGGAGGTTGAATTTCAGATGTACATCTGTTAGATGCAATCCTATTCTACCCTTCACTCATTGATTCAATCTCCTGAAATCCACAGAGTGATGGAATCTTTAAGCACCCTACAGTAAAACTGAAACTGCAGGCTGAGATTGATAAAACAAGGGAGTTTTAAATGAACCTTGTGCTGAAAGAAGATACTTATAATATGGATGCTGGAGGACAGTGTCAACCAATGGGTGGCGTTGCCCACAGTATTGGTACTACATATAACATCCAGAATGTGTTGGAAGGATCTATATGTTCATCCATGGACATTATTGTGCAGAAAAATTCTGCGATCATTTATTTTAAAAAAATCATTTGCATTCCATTCTAATGCACACCAAACACACATGGCTTCATAGCTCCGTTTGTGTGGTCACTGAGTGCATGCATTCTCCCTATATGGAAACAATTGGGTGGAATGTTGCTCTATAGGAATAAAAGATTTAATTACCTGATCATGACAAGAACTCTCATACATCCTGTTTTCCATAGGAAAATAAGTCTGGGGTTTGTTACAGTGGTAAAAGACATGGGAGTAGAACCCAGGAGATTATGAGTTCTAGTTCTAGTCACAAAAACAACTGGGTGACTTTTGGCCAGCTATTCCATTTCAGTCCTAGAAGATAATGGCAGAGCTGTTTTGAAAAAGGTTGCCAAGAAAACTGTGTAGACTTGTCTTTGTAGTTGCCAAGAATCAAGACACAATTGAAGGAATCAATAAATAATACATACACCTTGTAGATGGATGGGGACTCCATTTGGAGTAATGATTGCAATCCTTTGTATAAGTTTAATATGTTTGTTATTTGCTTATTTTTAAGGACTGTCTTGACCTAGAAGCCTGGACCTTAATCTGAGATGAGTGTACTTTAGTTAGCAGTTAAGCAAGCAAGCAAGCATGAATTCTTGTTATTCAGAAGCATAGCTTCCCATGTTATTTCAAATGCATCTTCCTGTGGGCTGAGGCAGGGTAAGTCAGATTAAATTCATCTTTTAGAAATTGAAGACTGAATATGGGAATTCTGAGTACTACTATCTCAATGCATTGAATTGGAAAAGGCTTTATAACATTTTTTAAAAAGGTGATACTGTATGTGTCCCCAGTTCTCTTTAAGCTAATACTCAAGATAGCTTTCCACGCTGAAAAATTAGAATTGGTATGAAATGTTAACATAAATTATGAACACTTAAATTAATATTAAAACAAATTAACAATTAAAAGCACAGTGAAAGGAATGTAGCTTTGTATTTTAAAATAAATCCTGAGAGATGGGAGACCAAACACTGAATTCCTTTCCATTTGAGGAGAGGACCCTAACCTCCATGCCAGAATAATAGATCTGGGCATCTTCTCAAAGAACTCTTTTGTACATCATGATAGCTGTACAATTGTAACAAGAAAAGTGTATTTACATAGGCAGGTCTTAAACAGTCTTTTAAGTCTCAGTACTTGTATCTATCTTCACAAGTCCTGCTATGCT